GTCAACCCTTACTTTGTTGCTGCTCCGCTTAAAACGATTTTTTGCTGTTGTAGGCGTAGGGGGGCGTTTGGGCGGATGTCATAACACCAACTTGACGCTGGAGTTGCACTCGTTTAGGTGTATGTGTGTGTGTGCATGCATTTATTTATAAACTGAGCTCATTGTTTGCCCCACACGCGGCTTTGACTCGCTCTTTGCGAGCACGCCTCTGTGTATGTGTGTGTATGAGTGTGTCTCAGTCTGAGTCTCCTGTGCCGCACTGCTGGCAAGCGCGGCCTCTTTAACAGTTGTATCACGCCGCGCGCGCTCTCCCTCTCTCTTTCTCTCTCTCTCGCTCGCACACAGCCTACAATGCTGTGCTCTCCCGCTCACACATGCGCGTGTCGTCGTCGTCGTCGCTGCGTTTCGTTGCGGGGTTGTTGTTGTAAACTCGGTTTCAAGCTTTAATTACGTCTCATACACACACACACACAGCTGTGAGGGCAAACAGACGGACTCATTCAGCCTCAGCCCCAGCTGTGTGTTGTGTGTGTGTGTGTGTACGTTCTATGCGGGGCCTTCAGGGGGCGCTGCGACGCAGTTGTTAAATTGTTGTTGCTTGTTGGCCTGCGCGGTATTCCTATTTTTGTTTGCCCGTCGGTTGACGTCGCTCTTGTTGTTGTTTTAGTTCTTGTTGTTGTTGGTGTTGTTGTCCAACGGTACTTCTGAGCGCCAGCCATTATTTGCTCGAATTCAGTCAAGCTTTGTGCTTCGTTGCTGCCGCTCGCGAAGTTGTCGCGCTGTCGTCGTCGCCGTCGTCGTCATCGTCCCGTTGTTGCACCCAAAAAAAAAAAACAATAATAATTAAATAGAAACCATCCAGTCGAGCCAACCACCCAACCACAGTCGGTCGCTGCCGTTTTTTGTGCTCTTTGCGCTATATTCCTCGCTCGGTTTTTTTTCTGTGGGTGTGTGGGTGTGCGTGTGCTTTTTGCCGGCTTTGGCGCGGCCTCAAAACGTGAGTACATTTAATACGCGGTCTCTCACGCGCTCCCTCTTTCTCTTTGATTACCTACAATGTGTATGTGTGTGTGTGTGATGGCGACCTAATCTCCAATTTGAGATTAGATATTAAGTTGCCTTACATTATTGTTTTAGTCTGGGCCTGCATTCTGTTTTATATACATATATGTATATACTATATACACACACACGCGCATGCATATGATATACCTCTATTTTGCCATGCCTGCATTTAGTTATTCAGCCGAGCAATGAAAGCTGCGCTCAAGCACGCCACTCGAGTGCAGCGTTTGCGCAGCTTAAAGCTTTGAGTTAAGCTCAAAGTTTCTGGCGATTTTAACCCCTGAGTGGCGTACTTATCATAATACTATGCAAAGTTGCTCAAATCGATAAATAGCTTTGGCGCTTATCAATGAAAAACAAAAGCAAAAATATAAATTAAAAAAAAACAAGAAGAAGAACAACTTAGCCAGTAACTGACCAAATTCCCACCGCTCACTAAATTGGCACGCAAAACCATATTCGTCGAGGATTTCGTAGAAGTTCACGTTGTGAGCTATCAGGGTGGAGGGCGACGCGAAAGCGTAAAGCTCGGAGCTAGCTGCTGCCGGGCCTGGTCGTTAGCTGCGTCGCCAGCTTATCACACACACACACACACACACATTGGGCCAGGCCATATGCATGCTGTGTGTTTGCGTGTGTGTCTCCCAGAAGCGCATGAGTATACATATACATATGTACATATATGCGTTATCAATAATCGGTCCGTCGTATGTGTGTGAAAGAGTTAAGCGTTAAATTTTTTGTCAATTGTTTTTTGCCTTTTCTTTTGTTTTGTTTAAATAATTAAAGAATGGCGCGTCTAAAAGCTAGGTGAATTGATTGGGTTGCGTATGTGGCGCGCCAAGGGGGATGGGCTGGTCGGATATGCCATTGAGAGTAGGTGCAATATTTGGAAATACTTAAACGGTGAACATATAATTATAATGACATTAAATTTAAGCCTTAAGAAAAGCAAAAGCAAAACTATAGAGATAAGTGAGAAATCGCTCTATTTTAATTGCCCTCCAATCTTCGCTCTGTCTTCTGCTCTCGCTCTCTCTCTCTCTCTCTTTCTCTCTCTCTCTCTATCTCTCTCCCTCTCTGTACTCTCTTATACTTGCTCTAGTTCTCTCTCTCTCTCAACCCTCTCTTTGTTACTCTTGTTCTCACGCTACCTCTCGATCCCTCTCTAACTCACATTTCGAATCTCTCTTTCCTTTTTTCCCGCTGTTTTCCTTACACTCTGACTCTTTGCTCTTCAAACTATCGCCTTCCTCTGCGATTTTCATGAATTCCAGTAAGGCCTTGAAATTTGCAATTATTAGTGGTATCTTTTAATCTAACATTGATTTGATATATTCATTCCATTTCCTTTTCTCTTCCTCTCTATCTCTATCTTTCTGTCTCACTCTCTCGTGGATGTATTTGCTCCATTTTTCAGAATGCTTAGCCTTTTAGTAATAGTTTTCCTTTCATATTCTTTTGATCAGCTTCAAGACGTCTTGCAAACGGCTGAAAATGGAAAAGACTCCCCGGTATACACAGCGGGAGCGCAATATGGTGCTCGGGTATGCGGCCCAGTACAAGGATGTGATTGAGAATAAGCGCACAGACGCCGAGTCCAATCGGAAAAAGGATGAGGTCTGGCTGCAGATAGCCAAAGAGTTCAACTCGAAGGTCTATCATCAGCGCAGCGCCAAGCAGCTGCGACAGCTCTACAAGAACATGAAGCTGCTGCTAAAAAAGGATCTATGTGGCGAGGACAAGGGCAATCGCTCATTTATGGATCTGCTCAACACGCTCTCGCAACAGGATTCCGTGGCGCAGTACATAGCCGAGCAAATGTCACCGGATGGCGCCGGAAGTCAAGCGACCGGAAATGGTCGCCATTTGGCCGATGACTACGAAGATTCAAAGGTATGTACTTTAAAGTTTATATGGAATACTTAATGAAAGCGTAGTCCAAACTAAGCTAAGCACCTTTCTTTTTAAAAAAAAAAATTCCTTAGCTTACTAGAGTTTGGATGAGTCTAGTTGTTTTTATATCAAATTAGACAATATTTCTAATCTGCCCAACATCGCTGAGATGCCTTAAATCAAAAAATGGCTTTCTTATAGAGCATATTGGTTTCCGTGTTACCCAACACTGCAGTATCTTAAGTCACTTTAAAGCCGCAAGAGCAATTCGGAATTAGCAATGGCTAAATAATTTCTTCAGGCTTCTTTACATTGCTTTCTTAGAAATTCCAAACTCATTCAGATCTTGCATTGCCTAGTTTTTGTCAAAACGACTTAATACTCAAAAAATTTGCATGTACAAAGCACTTAAAATAAATATTTCACTCAAGAACTTAGAGCTTGAATAACTGCCTCTTAATTATTTATAAAACTGTTATTTTCCTTTTTCATGAAGCTAATTCTTTCACATTTTTCTGTTGTTGGCCAACACTTGCAAAAATTGTCAATGATTTTTTAGTGTTGCAAAACTTGTAAATGCCGAAAATCGGAAACATCTTTTTAAACTTTTTCTCGTTGTCTGTTTTTTTTTTTATTTGTGGAAATAGTTGCCCATGTACGAAGGAATGGACACGGATGTCATACTGATCAAATCGGAGACAATTAGCGATAATGAGCAGACAGAGAACGGCATTGACTGCATGGATGATGATGACGATGACGATTGCCCCAGTCCAAAGGCGCCCGAAGTGTGTCTGGAGGAGGAGGACGAGGTGCTATTCGCCACAGATCTGCGCCAGCTGCAGCAGCATAGCGCCGGCGGCTCCATGCCCAGCAGAGACTTGGCCAATGGCGGCAGCAGTATGTGCAACAACAACAACAGCGATCCATTACCGCGTGCGTCTAGCTCACCCGTGGGCTCCACCAAGACCTCCATCTCATCCGCAGGCAGTTATATGTCCGGGGGAGTGCCAAAGGCGGAAATAATGCTCTCCAGTGTGGGCAACATACGCGTTGGCGCCTTTGCCAGCATTAACAAGACCCTGCAGAATGGCAACATGAACAGCGGCAGCAGCAACAACAACAATAACAACAACAGCAGCAGCTGCAACAATAACAACAACAATCCCAGCATCAGCAACAACAACAACAACAGCAATGGTCTGCAGCTTACGGCGGAGCAAATGGAGCAGCACTTGCTGCTTAACGGCTTAGGTCTGTCGGCGGTGCAGCATCCACCGGCGCACACGCTGCAGGCGGCCATCAATGCGGCAACGAGCGGCGTTGGCAGCTCGCGGCATGCAACACAAACGTTGCAGCTGCCGCGTTTGGCGCGCGGTCACACAGTGGAAAGAGGTGCATCGGCAGCGGCAACCGCAGTCGCCGCTGCAGCCGCTGCCGCCGCCGCTGCTGCCACAAATGGCTCGAACCAAGCGGGCGGCGTTCAGTTGCTGCTCAATGGACACCAGAGCCGGGACAAGGCGCAGGCGCAGGCGCACCAGCATCTACAGCAGAGCAGCGGCCTCAGCGTTGCCGCCGGCAGCTTTAATGGCTACAATGGACTCGGAGTTAGCAACATAAGCACCATAAATTGTGCCTCCGCTGCTGCCAACAGCAATAGCAACAACAACCTTAACCTTAATCTTAACAACAACCACAACCACAACCTGAACAACAGTAGCAACAACAACAACAACAACCTGAACAGCAGCAACAGCAGCAACGGCTCCCGCGGCCAGCACAATGAGTACATGATGTCGCTGGCGCTGGAGGAGCGCAAGCGCAAGATTGAGCTGCTCAATGTACAGATCGAGTATTGGCAAACGTTAACCAAAAAGCTGGACTCACAGTCCGGCCACTATCCCAATCCGGCGTGCCTCTGCCATTTTCCAGGCAACAGTGTTATGGGCGTGGGCGCCAGCGTGGGCGTCAGCGGTGCGGCCAGCACAGCCGCAGCGAGTGTGTTGCAAACGCAGTCAAGCAGCAGCTAGTCCGAAGCGAACGATGGCGGTGGCGACGACGACGACGACGACGACGATGATGATGATGATGATGACGACGACGACGACGATCAACACGTCGCTGGCCTGCTGCAAATCGATATCGATGATGAGCCTGGGCGTGTCAACGACAACAGCAGAAGCCGTATCGCCAGCGACAGCAGCAGCAGCGGCGACAGCGACATCATTTCCATCGTAGACATTGACGATGAGGAGGACGAGGACGAGGATCAGGAGGAGGATGATGTGATGGAATTGCAAGTGGAGCTCGAGCAGAGCAAGACCAGCATAGCGGACTTAACGCTGCATGAAGAGTATGACTCACAGGATGCCTTGGTCAAGGATGTGGGCGTTGTGGGCGGCCTATCGCCAACACCCTCACAATCAGCGCCGTCGCCACCGCCATCGTCGCAGCCGCCAGCGAAGCGCATCAAGCGCCACATTGCGGTGCTGCCGCCAGCAGCTGCCTCAGCCCTGCTGCTGCAATTGGCACAGCAGCAGCAGCAGCAGCAACAGTTGCCGCCCGCGTGAGGCTGTCAAAGCAATTAGCTAGTCCTAGATACTTGTTGTTCTTAACACTTTTAGTTCAGGCCATGTTTATGATCGTCGCCTTTTTTTTTTATTACTTTCGATTTGCCATTTTTATGTTAACCAAATTACCAACTAATATACAATTAGTTATTATTATGATTACCTATCATTAACGTAATGCTACTATTTATTTATGTCTAGTTTTGTGTGCCAAACAAAGAAGCCAACATGCAAGTGACTGAAGTGCATGTGCATTCATTTTATTATTATTTTATTTTTTTTTATAATATTAGTTTTGCAAACCAAATCTTATTTGCCATTTAACGAAATGCTTGCCAAAATTTAATTTTAAGCATTAACTTATTGCTTAAAGCCAAGCCTACCCCCGCCTGCTATTATTTATTATTTATGTGTTTTGTTAAACATCCATTTTTTTTTAGTTTATACAAAAGCAAAAATATAAATTTATTGTTTAAGTTTTTTTTAGCTGCAAACCAAAAGAAAATGCAACGAAAGGCCCAAAAAACTGTTCATTTGTCACTGTAAATTTTACCTTAAATTACATAACATAATTAGTTGTCATGTAAAAAAAAACATACAAACAAATTACAAAAACTGTACAAATGTGGTTCCTAATCTAGTCCTTAAAACAAACAAACAAAAAATCTAAGAAACTGTTTAAAAAAGAAAACAAAGAAAACAATTTTATTGTTATGCATATAGCGCAACTTGTGTATATTTTTTTTTTTTTTCTAAAAAATATATATATATCTAAACGCAAAGCCCCCAGTCCCTAAACCATCCAAAGAACTGTAGCTAATTTTAATGTACTTAAAAAAAAACTGAGGCACCCAAATCCAGATACAGAAATATATGGTTTTGGATAGCAATTTGCTAGTCGCCGCTGCGTAACTGTATTCTTTAGTCTAGCATACACAAGAAAAGTTTAAAATAAATAAAATTTTAAATGCGATTAAGTTATGTATTTGCATACTGTAGTAATATATATACAAAAAAATTATGTGTAAAAATTATGCCTAACTGTAACCACAATTTACATAAATAGAAAAAAAAACATTTATACAATTTTTGTAAACAAAACGAATTAATAAAAACCCCAGTGAATTTATTTGGTGGCCTAGTTAAACGTTAAAAATATGTGTTAAAATAAATATGTTTAAAGACTAAGGCGGGAAAATTCAAGTTCAACTTGGGCGGGCGCAACTATCAATCTGTGGCAACTATAGGCTAGTGCTGCCAGATCGCTGGCAGCCCTTGTAAGAATTCAGCGTTGCCAGCGATAGCAGTTACCGCTACACAAGAACCACAAACGTATTGCACAAAATATTTACCATTTACATGTATAAAGAAACTAACTAGTTGCATTTTACAAGCACATTTCTATACATTTTAAATAAAATATCGAAAATTCGATTTATAATGGCTAGACATCGATAGCAGCGAACCATTGACGATAGTTCCACACTATTGGATATTCATCGTCAAGTGATAGTGACAATCGATCTGCCACTGCGTTATCGCACCTCTTAAGTCTTTATATTTAATAAACTTTAAAATAAAATTAAGCTCCGCCAACGTTAATGAAATCCAAGTCCAACAAATACCACCTTTTCCCTTTTGTTTTTTTTTTATCTGGGGGAGTGTAAACTAACCTGTATATGTGCACAATTTAAATTGGCGCGCTGTCAGGCAAACAATTCGCTATCGCATCCCAACAAAAACAATTGCAACAACTAGTTATCGATGACGAGCTGCGCGAGTTCTATATATATATATATATTTGTGTATATGTATGAGCAGTGTTTTTATTTAACTTTTTACGCGTTTAAAAATCACAGTTGCATTGTTTAGTGAAACCGTCAACTGAAAATGATATACGTTGTAGCACATGCGAGTTAAAAGTAAGTCGAAGGGAGGCTAAACATTTTATTTTGGCCAAACTGCGTGCGTGGATGCGTTTCGGATACCATAAACAGAAACAGCAACAGCAACAAACACTCCGGCATTGGATAACAATCAGTTTGTAGCTACGTTTGGCTTAAAACATTTAACAATTAATACGTCTCACAGAAAAGAATCTAAACGAAGCTATTAAAGTGTCAATAAAAGCAAAAACGACAACAACAATACGATACTGTCAAAGGTGTTGGCGCGGGGGTGGCGGACGGACGGCCGACAACAATCAAAAGTATGAGTAATACCGTAGAAAGTAACGGCAATAGACGCACCGTTGATTGGCAACGCTTTGGTCTTGGTGGCGACGATGAAGGCGAGATAACGGTAGCCAGCTTTCGCCAACGAAGCAACAACAACACTGGTGGCTTCGTGGATCTGGGCAATGAGTATACGTACGCAGCCGGCGGACATCATGCGTCTGGCGCCAACGAAATCTTTGCCGGAGAGCAAGGTGATAAACCCTGGTAGGTAAATCCATAGAGATCGCCTCATAATAATTCGTGACTGTTGCCATCGCTCAACAGGTGGCGCTCGAATTTCTTCATCTCGCAGCCGGTGCTATTTGGCACATGGGATGGCGTGTTTACCTCTTGCCTGATTAATGTTTTTGGCGTTATCGTGTTCCTGCGCTCCGGCTGGATTGTGGCCCAGGCAGGCATCATCAATGCTGTTCTCATCATTTTCTGCACTGTGGTCATTGCCTTGGTCAGCGTGCTCTCGGCAATTGGCATTTGTGAGAGATGTCGCGTGGAGAGCGGCGGTGTTTATTTTCTTATAGCACACACGCTAGGCTCCCGATTTGGCGGTGCTCTCGGCTTACTCTACTGTTTTGGTCAGGCCGTTGGCTGTGCCCTCAACGTGATGGGTTTTGGTGAATCAATGGCAGGTCTGGTGGGACTCGAGGGCAACAAGTGGGCCATACGTGGCTTCGCGACTGCCGCCGTTCTACTGCTCGGCTGTATCAATGTGGCTGGCGTAAAGTGGGTCATTAAGCTGCAGTTTATACTGCTGATGGTATTGCTTATATCGGCGTTAGATTTCATGGTAGGCAGCTTTGTGGGCGAGGATCCAGGTAGATGTTTAATAGCCGCTCCTTAAGCTTCTTGAATGACAATCGCATCCATTACAGATAATGACTTCGATGGCTGGATGAGCGGAAATTTTGTGGAAAACCTTTGGCCAAAATATGAAGATGGATATTCATGGTTTCGAGTTTTTGGCGTCTTCTTTCCAACCGTCACGGGCGTCTTATCCGGCATCAATATGAGCGGCGATTTGCGCGCTCCATCCACAGACATTCCTAATGGCACGCTGGCAGCATTTGGCACTTCGTTAGTCATATTCAACGACCGATTCCATAGCTGCTTGATTCCATCTTTGCTATTTATCTTTTTTGCAGCACATTTCTGTATTTAGTGTTTGTGCTATTTTTGGGTGCCACATGCAAGCGTGCCACATTATACACTGACTTCATGATCTCTGTGAAGGTTTCGGCCGTTCACTTTCTGCTGCTGGCGGGCATCTATGTGTCCAGCATGTCCTCCTGTCTGGGTGCCATGTACGGCACGCCGCGCGTCCTGCAGAGCATTGCCAAGGAGAACGTCATACCTGGTATTGATGCACTGGGCAAGGGTGTAAGTACATAGACACGCCGCTCTTTCTTTCTCCTTTTCTATGTCGCCCTCTCTCTTTCTATTCTAATTCACACAGCGCGGCCCCAATAAAGTGCCACTGTACGCAATGGCTGTTGTGGCTTTGGTTACGGTCACCTTTATTATCGTAGGCGACATTAACTTTCTGGCGCCCATTGTAACAATGCCATTCCTGATGACGTACGCTTGTATAGACTACGCGTACTTCGCACTGGCTCAAACCTTTGACATACAGGAGCAGCGTGAGGAACGTTTTCGTATACAAGCTTCCAGTCCAAGCTACGAGACGCGTCGCTATGGCAGTGTATCGGATGGTGGCAATGATCTGGATTTGCTATTTCCAGATCGGGTGCGCCACAAGAACCTGCAAAGTCCACAAAACTCACCAATGCATCAGGCGCAAGCAATGCCATCAGTGCCTGTTGAGAACATTGTAAGTTTCGATGCGCCAGCGCCCAGTACTTCATCTGGGCAAGAAACGGCAACAATGACGGACAGCACTGGCGTGATCGTCGAACAGTCCACAGCACAGGCTAGCAGCGAAGTGGAGGATGAGAATGAGCCCATTGCTCCGATTCGCCCGCCTATACATTCTAAGACGAAAAACTGGTACTCTGGCTTCTGCAATCGTTGGGCCTCGTTGCTGGGCGTAAGTATTAGTAGATATAATTTTAGAGCTTTATCCCAAACTTCTGTTTTACGTGCAGGCGCTCACCAAACTGCTAGTCATGCTGTTGGTGAACTGGTATTATGCCTTAACTTGTTTTTTGGTCGTATTCGTTGTTTGGTTCTATGTGGGCACAGCTAATCCCGCCGTCAAGCCTGGCCTGACGGCAGAGTTCAACTTTTTTGGCTGGCTCAAGAGCGTCATCTTCCGTTGCTTTGGGTAAGAAATATTTGATCAATTTAACATTCTTTTAACTGCAACTAGCTTTTGCTTTCTTCGGCAATACAGAAAACGCATGCACGAGTACGAACAAATTGTGGTGACGCCCTCTTGCCCGGGCGTCGATCTGTCGCCCACACAACTGAATGAGCAGAACGAGGACTTTAGACCGCGTCCCAATTACCATCATTCTTCGGTAATAGAGGGTCGGCTGATAGATGATATCTAGACTTTTGGCCATGGGCCGTAAACAGTGGGAACATGGGTTATGGGGAGCCGCGGCGAGCAATATTTTGAGTGCATTTTGCTAATACTAAACCATATAAATTATAACGTACATTTATAAAGTGCAACGCTAAGGATAATTATGTTTAATCCAGCACGTGCATTTAGAAGCGATCTTCCCACACACACTCAAAAACCTAACCCAGCGCACATTGCAGCTTTAGCTAAATTAAAATTACTTGTGTACTAATTATATAATAATCTAAGTTGAAGAATTTAACCTGCTTTTAATATGTTCCTTTCTTGTGTAAAGTCTTTTTGCTATTTTGCCATTGTTTAGTTCTATGGAAAGCCTGTAAAATTGTTGCTTAATAGATATGTTTCCGTACATTTTGTACCGTCTCAAAGCACATACATAGTTTATTTGAGGAAACATATGTGATACTGAGATAATAAGTAAAACAATCAAAAAACCAAGAAGAAAACCTACCACATCCCAAAACAAAACAAATACTAAAAAAGTTTTGAAAATTTGGCGCGTTTGCATTCTACGAAACCATAAATAATAAATTACAAATGAAACTTATTCAATTGAAATACCTTTGCTTAAAATATATGTATGTAAACTCACACACCACACACATACTCCAAAAATTGATTAGCCATCAACTGCAAAAGCCACAAAATCAAAACAGATTCAAGCCCAACTCTTCATATGCAAGTAAATAAGCAAAATCAATGTAAACACTATAAGTCATAATCTATTACCACAAATATCTGCAATAACTGCATTATATATACCATATTACATATATATATATATATATATTGATAGGTATATAATCAAATGTTTAAGTAAAACTATAACGAAAACCGTATAAAACATTGCAGCGCGTTATATTTCAAAAATATACAAAGCGTTTTACTTTTGGACGTACATACTTATATAGCATAAATTTAATCTAGATATACAAAAGGCAGATAGCACATCCATGAAAAAAACAAAATCAATGTATATGTAACAACAATATTAACTGAAATGTGTATTAAAAAAGTTTAATAAACAAAAATTAAATTTTTATTACAATAAAATTAAGTTCCAGAGCATGTTAGCACAGGCAATCTACTGCGGTTTCATCAACAATGTTCAGAATATATTTTCAAAACTTGCAAGGCTTCGTGTAGAGTTAGTCGCACGCAAAGAAAGCTTTTATTTAATAATGCATTTCACTTCAAATTTTAAAATGTAATTAGAGGCGCCAAAGATCGAATGTAAATGTGCGCAAATATATATCGATTGCTGTTGAAAATGAGTCGTGCAAAACAATCGATTCCGGCAGCCCTGGAATGCGAGTATTGCAGCCCTATAACCTCAAAATTATTAAGAATATAAGCAATACACGGTGCAGTTTTATTCATATTCCTATTAAAACTGACCACTGCAAGTATATGAGGTTGCCCCGATAGCACCAGCCTGTCGCCATGAACACCCTAATGCGCCGAGCACTGCTGCTCATGCACTCGCGCACATATTGCATAAAACAATACGCCGTCGCCGGCACTGAAGCGGCTGCAAAAGGTGGGTAAACAGTGTTTAGTTAGCTGCTGGAGTGTTACTTTCATGTATTTCTACAGGCAAACTCAACTATGAGGAGTTTATTGACAGCCGGCACCAGCAGGCGCAGCGCAGCATTGTTGTGCAGGTCAGCTCAGAAAAGTCATACCCAGAATTGTATAACTACTGCAGCAGATTCGGACGCATTGTCACAGTACAACACTACTGCGTGCAGCATGAGGACGTGCTGCACTATATGCTGTTGGAATATGCCAGTGCCGGCGAGGCAACAGCAGCCATCAGCTCAAGTGCCTACAATGCAGAGCTGAGCGGCAGCAGCAGTGGCAGTGGCTGTGGGGTGCCGGTGCGTTCACCCTTCCTTTGGTTTAGAGCAGCAGCCGCTGGCGCGGGCCGGCGTGGCCAAGCCAAGCTAGCGGCGAATCAGAAGGCGCTGCCGCTGAGTACAATCGACGGCACGCGGCCGCCAACACATGATTCCTTGCTGGAGGTGCTGCGCGGCGCCGATAGCATTGAGCAACAACTGCAACTGTTGTACGATCAGACGCGCTTAAATGATTTGGGCGTACGGATGCGCTTTTTGGCCGCGCTGCAAGTACAAGAGTCCATCTCGGGCATGTTTCCGGATGCGCTGGCCCAGCCATTTGGCTCCTCGGTAAATGGTTTTGGCAAAATGGGTTGTGATTTGGATTTGATTTTGCGCTTCGATGGCAAAACAACGGCAGATGGCCTGGATAGCCAACGCGAAGCGTCGCGTCTTATATATCACACCAAGGAGAACCTGAGCAATGGACGCTCGCAGAAGCAACGACAAATGGAATGCATTGGCGATGTGCTGCATCTGTTTCTGCCCGGAGTCTGCCATGTTCGGCGCATTCTGCAGGCGCGTGTCCCCATTATCAAATATCATCACGAGCATCTAGACTTGGAGGTGGATTTGTCGATGAGCAACCTGTGAGTAACAAACGATACTGATACAATCTATGCTTTTACAAGTGGCATTATAATTTTCTCACGCAATGTGCAACGAATAGTAGCAGACATATAAGTAAACATATACATATATGAATATATGTATTATATATATACATATATGTATATATGTATTAGGTATAAATATTCGTTGTCAGTGTCCATAGCCGAGTTGATATAGACGCGTCTGTCTTTGTTTATGTCCGTGCGTCTGTTTTTATGCTAACTTGCATCTGAGTCTTAAAACTATCTTGCTGCAGGCAGAATTTGAAACGGATTCCCTTAAATCTATCATACAGCTATCATAAGATCTTTTTGTCGAATACATTTGATCCAGTCATATCCGTATGAAAGAGGTAGATACACCAAATTTGACCTTTAAATTCTCGAATACCATACGCAGATCAGGTTAACTTGAAATGGATGCTTATAAATTTCCAGCTACCTTTATTTTTTGTAACTGAGGACAGGATGTAATAAGCATAAGTAATCTTCTCCGACCCCCTAACGTATATATATATTCTTGATCACCATCAAAAACCGATTATTGCTTTATCTGGTTCGTCTGTATTAGAGCTAGAAATTAGTTAGTTTTATTATTTTCTTTGAATTCGTTTTATTTTGACCTTAGGTGTTCTTAATCCCTCTCTATCATATCATTTTCTTATTGAATGGAATATTTTTGGGGCTTTAGTGGGCCAAAGGTGGCTTTATTCTCTTGGTTTATTAACGTACTTATTGTTCGAATTGAAAACTTATGATCTATTAACCATGGACATAACTCTGCACTCTGCGCTCGTCTAGGCTGTTAACTTAGCTAACTAAATGGTTGTTGCTTCGGGTTGGTGCTGGCCTTTAGCGTCTGTAGTTGGTGGCCTGCTCCTCCTCCTTTTTGACGGCCTGGACCAGGATAAAGCTCATAACGCCACAGATGACCGTCAGCATGGACATTACCATGGCCAATCCCACAATCCAGGCGGTCTTGCCCTCAAAGAACCAGGTCAGCTCGTCCACGCAGCCACTGAAGAAGGCATTGCCACTGACGGTGTCGCGGCAGGAGCTGGGCAATGGTTGGTGCAAATCCAGATAGTCCCATGGTCCGCTGGCGCCGCAGCAGCCAATATTTTCCTGAATCATGGTCAGCACATAGTTGGAGTACGTGTATTCCGATGTCGCCACAAATCTTCTCAGCGACACATTCAACAGCGGCTGCAAGCTCGAGTTAATTGTGCTGTACTGCAGCAATATGGCCGCACCGGCCACCGTGGACACAAAACCAAATATCTGTGTGCCAATAAATACAAACAGCGCCAGGGTGTTCTCCATGAGGGCACTAAGGCAGCCCAAAAAGCTGACCGCCATCATGATAATGCTAATGGCGATTAGCACATAGACGCCAATGTAAAAGGACTGAGCCTCCAGTATGCGCAGCCAGTCATTGAATCCCGGCTCGGCCCGCAGCCAGACGGTGAGGGCGAACAGGGCCGTAGATATCATCCAGGCGATAATATTGAAGCAGAAGAGCGTGTATTTCACGCAGCCGATTTGTTTCTCCAGCTGCTCATCAGCGGCGCCATAGCCAATGCCCATGCTGAAAAGCTGTGCGAACAGAAAGGACAAAAATCATTAAGCAACATATTTAAATAGATGGTGTAGACATGGATGAGGCATGAAGTTTTATGTACCAATTAAATAATGCTGAAAATGCAGGTGCTAACAAACTTGCTTTTTTAATTCCCGTTTACTTCAGGCGATTGGAAAGCCGCATTCGCACTATTCCTTTTCAATTTGAACCGGCGGCCATACGCTAGTTAGTTCGATGCTCAGACACTAAGCCAGACAGGCTCGTGAAGGCCCGTTCGCAAGGCATACTTAAATGACTGTATTGTTCATACTTTTCCCCCACCTGCAGTTGGAGTTCTCTTAGCGCTCACTTTCAACCCAAAAAGAAGATTAGGTAAGGACTAGCTTGATTTATAAGTATATAGCTCCTTGACCAACAGCTCCTTTATTCTACTTGGGTTGCACTTGCCTTGGCTTCAATAAACCCCGCTGAGTCACAGCCAGTATAAAAAGCTTCCCCTAGCACGCCTTACATTAATCATACGAAACCTCAATGCACTGGCTACTATTCTTTTTTTTATGTGCTCAGGCCTGAAGCAACTTGGCCTTATCAGCGTTGTGTTTAACAAATAGCGTTATCATTAGTTGGTTGGCTTTGTTCGAGCCCGAAGTCTCGCAGGCACAACATGATTAATACACAACTTGCTATTGCAACACTCATTGAATTTCAAACCAAAAATTGAATTTGTTTTCTGCTCTATTATTGATCACATTTCTACATGTTTCAACCAACATTTCGTTGAGGGTCACAACTATTCATACTTTTGCTCCTTCACATGAGAGAGATAAAGTTGTATAATTTTATACTACAATAAATAGTTTTGTTTACGCCACTTTCTCACTTAAAAAAAAAGTATTCCTTATTATTTACTTAGCTTCACCTTTGAAATTGTTTGTTACACACAGATAAAAAAAGAAGTTATTTTATTTAATACACCGTAAGAGCGTTGTCACACTTTCTGGGAAGACAGCTCCGCTGGGTTCGTTCGTTGAAATCGGTTTGCCTTCTCCGAAAGCGCTCGCAAAGCCAGCAACCTGACCAAAATATGGTAAAAGATGAAAAAAGAATATATCTATCTCTGTCACAGTTAAAACTTTCAATATGATGACAACATCCAGAGTACAGTTTGGCGGACAGCAATTGTTATAGGCCGAGAGGCCCTCAGATAAGATAAGATTAGATGTGAGGCATGCCAAAGCTTTTGCTGATAAGATTAGATAGAAACAGGTGCCGTATTGCCAAATGCCATATAATGCATATATAACGGTAATAGTGCCATCTCTTTTGCCCATGGAGCAGGTGAATCAGTTACACTATATTATTCCTCCCACCACATTCCGTTTGTTATGATTCACAAATGTCGCTGACGCCGGCTTTTAATCACGGACACGAATCGGCCAGAGTTACTGATAAAACTAAGCCCACAATGCATTCGAAAAACCATATCCGGTCTGTGGAGGTGGTCAGTTTTCTGAATGAAACGCCGCCACACTATGGGTGAGATGGCCTTTGTGCCACCTGCCACGCCCTGTCGCCAATGTTGGCTATGTGAATCACAGATCTGAAAAGCTTTCCAGTTACGCGTTTGTATTTCCGTAAATATTTTCATAAACAGGATGCGAGTTAAATTTGATCTCTATCCAAAATTCGCATCTACCAATTATGATTAGAAAAATGCATCAGAGCTGGATCTCTCTGAAACGTTTCAGTTAGAATTTGGCTAATAACCAGAAAATAGTTGAAAAATGTATCTCAAGTTTAAGGAAAAACTAGGCCCAAGCAAAGCCGAATTAAGGGTTCTAGGCTGTCCTCTATTTTGCAAGCTCATTTGATGTTCGTAGCCAATCTGTCGTGTTCCTTTTGCTTTCATTCGATCCTAACTGAAATCCATTTTCTAACCGTGTTTTCTGTCATTGAGCGTGATTTTTTAAGTAGTGTCCATCTCATTAAGGATGTTATAGATGCTTTAACCTACTTGATGTGCTTTATTCACGTGTTTTAGCACTGGCTTCTACATGTCCGAGCTGTTGTACATGTTTGGCGAGCTGGATCCGCGCGTGCGCCCATTGACCTTTAGCGTACGTCGCTGGGCGCAGTCGTGCGGCTTGACAAATCCTTCGCCAGGACGCTGGATCACCAACTTCTCGCTGACCTGCCTGGTCATGTTTTTTATGCAGCAGCTGCGGCAACCCATACTGCCAGCTATCGGGGCAATGGCGAAGGCGGCGACCGCAACAGACATACGGGTCACTGAGGATGGCATCAATTGCACCTTTGCACGGGACATGGAGCGTGTGGGCTTTCAGAGCCGGAATACGAGTAGCCTGAGCGAACTGCTGTTACAATTCTTTGAGTTCTATTCGCAGTTCGACTTTCACAATCGTGCCATATCGCTGAATGAGGGCCGCGCGCTGGCCAAGCCAGATCACTCGGCCATGTACATTGTGAATCCGCTGGAACAGCTGCTGAATGTGAGCAAGAATGTTAGCCTTGAGGAATGCGAGCGTCTGCGCATCGAGGTGCGCAATGCTGCCTGGATGCTTGAGTCCGAGGTGGAGAACACAACGCTGACAGAGAGCGAGCGACATGAGCAATCCTGGGGTCTACTCAATCTCTTCAAAAATCCCGAGAAGTCTGTCATACGTCCCAACATGTTCTTCAAGCCGCGCATGGTCGAGGTCAGCGATCTGTTTGACAAATCCCAGACGGCAGCGATGACACCTCCGGCCGTAAACTACAAAAACACCACCGTGCGCCAGCAGGTGCAGAGCATCAAGGCAGCCGCACGCAGCGAACTGAAGCAGCTGCGGGGGTCCAGCACAACGACGACGACGACGACGACTGCAGCCAAAACCAAACGCAGCAGGTGATAACCGGCGGCATTTCACTAGACAAATCCCGGATTAGTGTATATATCTTAATAATTAGAAAGTAACTCTACTCTGACTACAAACTTAGCTAACTAAATGTTGTTCATATTGTTAAGCGTTACGCCCCAAATGCAGCGTACAAGGTACGAGCATGTTGCAGCTGTTTCTAGGTATATGCAACTGTCTGTGGTGCAGCTCAATGTGGCAGCTCTAGAGCTAGCCCTTTGGGTCGCCACTTACCAGCGTTAAGTATTTTAGCTGTTTTTTTTTAAATTAATAAAATTAAAATCAAGTTTTTTCCATTTTAATACTCGCTGCACAAAGTGAACAAGAGTATTGTTAAAAGAGACTTGGAACTTGAAAGAGACTTGGAACTTGAAAGATATCTATATCTTTATCTTTCACAGATTTGTAGCTGGAGTCTTAAAGTGTGATAGGTAGATCTTCTCAGATCAGATCAGGTCATCTTTGAAGATCGAGCCATAAGTATAGTGGACTAGCGCCTACAAAATCCAAAAATCGTTATAAGTAAATACATATGCTTGGTAAGGGTATTTTATCTGTCGACAAGTGATTTATATATTCAGTCAGCAGAGGTCTACATTATATATTATGATAAACCATCATTAAAACATCTCAAGTTTTCCAACGTGGTAAAATGTTAACCTTCAAAGCCGATCCACCAACTGCTGCTCTGGGATCTAAGCTAGTTAATATGGTAGTAATTAGCTTGGTGCTCTTCAATAGTTGGGTTGATTATATGCAACTCGATATTATTCAATTAAAACGGTGACTCTAGTGGAAGCGTTCACCTGTTTTTAGCTGAAACAAATTCGATATTAATATGTTTAAATATGAACTTGTTGCTGCATTTAGCAAAGCTTCAAGGATTTAGGCAAGAGCTGTGATCATATTTTTGTAATTGCTCATTTTATTCATTTTGTTTTAATAGGTTTTGTTCTTTTTTTTGTATTTTTCTATAATTAGGGCAAAGTCTTGATCGTTAACAACGCGCCTCATGCTGCATTCCAATATTTTTATTTCTTCTCTATTTAGTTAGTTTTGTTTTTTTTCTTTTCATTTAAGTTTAGGCTTTCTTAATTTTTCAACTATGTGTGTAAATGTTTAAAATGCTATAAATTAGCATGCACAATCTGACTCAACATATTCCTATGTTTGTTTCTTTGTGTGTATACAAGTACGAGTGTAAGTATGTGTGTATAACAAAACACAATGCTTATATGTATATGTTTATGTGTATATATATATAAATTGTAATTATTTAATTATGTAATTGCTTGCGATATTATGTGTGTGTTCGGTTTCAATGTTTCATATGCATACATATGTATTGCGTTTGTTGTTGTTTTTATAACATAGTCCTAAATAAATATGAATATTTTGTTTATTAGTTTATGTGTGTTTGTTTATGCGCTTTAGATTGTAATATCGTTTGTGTTTAATGTACAATATAATGCAATTATTGCTTCTGATTTTCTTCGTTTTTATGCACTCGCAATTAGGCAATTATGTAAGTATGTAAATCACGTATTGCATGTGTACGTAAGGTTTTTATTTGCATGTATTTATTTGTTGTTACTGTTACGGCTGCTACTGTTATAGTTGTTTCTTTTGTTGCCATACGCTTAAATTATTAAAATAATTTACATACATTAATTAAAGAAAATAAAAATTGTAAATCCTAGTTAATAGGTACAAAAGATTGTTTGTCATGCGCCACGTGAGAAGAAATTAAATGACAAACAAATGCCTAATAAAATTAATATTCATATATATGTATTTATATATATATATATATTTAAAAAAAAAAAAAACAAACAAGAGTCCCGTTCTTGTGGACAGTATGGAAGCCAGCCCAACGAAAACATTGGTTTTTAACTATATAGTTGAAACAAGGCATCCTATTTAGAGCTCTCGCCTGGCGGCCACTAGACAATAATTTCAACATCATTTAACGATGCGTCGGCTCATCTAAACCAGAGCTTCAAGCGAAGCGCATCCACACCGTTTAAATAATAACGAAAAAGTCGTTTATCACGCACAAAGCCCAGGTTTTCATACAGGCGGAGCGCCGGCTCGTTGCGCATCTCCGTTTCCAGCACCACTTCGTCAGCATTGTCAGCAAGCATGGCCTGGAATTGAAGATTTGGATAAATGCACAGATAATTCTTGATAAATTAAAGCCTTACCTCAATGGCTTTGGTTACAAGCGTGGTGCCAATTTTAAGCTTGCGATACTCCTTACGCACCGCTAACATCGCTATGTAGCCGCGTCGCACGTTCATATGCATGTCCAGCTTGCATACAATGGCGCCCACATATTGATTATCGTGCGCGGCGAGGAAGCATAGTTTTGGCCAGTTGTAGATGAAATAGCGGTACGTGTATATCGAATATGGCTCAGACAGCTCGGCTTGTATCAGACGCATTATATCCTGCAAATATAGGGAGTTAGAATGTTTCGTTTGTGGATCTACTCGGTTAGCTTACATGCATTTGATGCTCGGCTTCGTATTCCTTATAGACTATCTCATCGGCTGAAATGGCAGGTTCAAGCTGGAGCTGTTTTTGTTCTTGTTGGGGCTCTGACTCAGCAACGGCTGCCGCAGCAGCTGCTGATGTCGAAGGCGCCTCATCCTGGGCGCTGGCCTCCGTAATCTTTGCTGTTGTTGTGTGTGTGTTGGCAGTGATTTTTCTTGTCACTATTTCAGTATTTGCTGCTGATACGCTTGTCGTTTGCTGATCCTGCATCCCGCTTTCCGATTCCTCGTACGACGCTTGGGACTTGTTGTTGTTTTTCGCCTTACTGCGGCTGCTACTATTGTTATTATTGCTTCTGTTGCGGCTACCGGTGTTGATGTTGTTGACATCGTTGTTGTTGTTGCTGCTGATGTTGTTATTGTTTATGTGATTGTTGTTGTTGATGGCAGTGCTTTTATTGACATGGCCATTAACAGTGGCCGCAACTGGGGCCGTGCCAGCCATTGGCTCAGCTGTTGCCTTTGCCCCCTCCTTGGCATGGCCATTGCACAGTTGCACCTGCTCCATGATGCCATTGATTAAGGACACATTTGCTTCATCAGTCTCAGACTGGACGACGTGCCCATTGGCTTGGTGCACAATAGCCTTGACTGCTTGTGCTGGCTTTGCCTCTGACTTTTGTGGCTGCTGCTGTATTTTCTTTTTATTTCTGTACTTTTTCTTGGAGGCCGCCGCAGTTGTCGCTGCTGTCGCCGTGTCCGCCATGGCCGCCCGAGTCGCTGCTGCTGAACGAAAGCAGTATTTTAATTCTAAACAGGAGGACACAGCTGAGTGCACTGGTTGGTGAGCGGTTAACGGGGTATGTTGTATGCTTACCTGCTCCAACTGCTGCAACTTCCCAGCTGTTGATGGGCTACGTCACTGTCGCTGGCGGGGAGTCAACGCACTCAAGACAAAATCGTCTTTATTTTTGGTTATATTTTCACAGTTGCAAGTTTTTCATTCACACACCCGCACACACGCACACACACACACTCATACAGCTCCACAAGCGATGGGCGATGTTAACGTGCCTGTGACCAAGAGCAGTTTTTGATAATAAGTCACAGTTCCTGGAAAATAAAGTGGCGGGATAAAAGCAACAAGAGCTTTGTCCCATTAAAGTGTATAAATTTAAACTTAATTATAACTTATTTATATTTAATTTCATTAAGGCTTGAGTAAAATATTTGTTAAATTCTATATAGAGCATTAGTTTCTGAGTAACTGCCCCCTTGTTAAAGGGATTGCATTTTCAAAAGTTACTTTCTACTCATCATCACATATCACTTAGATTTAAATATCGCAACGTTTACCATCTCTAACGCACACACACGTACGCACACTCTTTACTGCTTGTCGCACTTTGTTCATGTTCCGTTTAGAGTGCTCAATTTTATTCAGGTTCATTGTTACTACGCGTGTTAGAGGATTTTCAAATTGTGACACAATCAGCGCTTACCATATATTTATTGTTGATCACCTCTTCCGTTTTCGTTTTTTTTTTTTTACTCGATTTGTTCTCTTGGTTATGAATAAATACACTCACATACACACGACCACATGTAACACAGCGAACAGCTGTGCACACGCATTTCAGTTGTGCTACCTATCGATTGCTGCCGATTGACATTAATTTCGATTGTCTTTTTTTAGATAAATCGATATGATAGATAAGTAGAGCTGTGGCGCCTTTCTGTTCACATTTTCGAAAGTGTCTTTTTTGCATCATCCGTCTGTCTGTAACTAGTCTAGGAAGAATAAGTATAAAAGTAAATAGAAGTGTTAAAGCTTATTGTTAAAGCTTGCGCCTTGAAGTTATTTTTATCGGTAATTACAGTAAATAGAGTATAGCGCAGCGGTATCCGAGAGATACAATTTTTTTTAGTTTTTATTTCTTCTTGACATAAATAGGTTCTATAATTAAAAAATCGTTCATGCTGTGGCGAAGCAACATAAAAACAAATAATAACTTATTGGCACTGCACAATAAATTAGTTAATATAGTAAGGTGTATTCGTATATGCACCATATCATATCACATATCTCATACATGTCTTCTTAGCTTTGTGCTGGAACTGTTTGAATCGAATTTAAATATTTTTAGCATACTAAACTGCAATAAATTTTGGTTCCCTCATAAATAAAATTGAAATCGAAACCAACATGAAAGGCAACAAATGTAACCTTCGCCTACTTTTCAGTCGGCAGTCAAAACTAAAAAAGCACGTAAATAAAATATAACTGATTGAATATACCAAGATTAACGTCCACACTTGATACAAATAAAACTGTGACTAAACTTTAATTTGATTTCTGTCGCCGCGACTCTGAAAAGCTGGCCATGCAAAGTGAACGCTTGGGTATGCTTCCTTCCTGCTTGATTTCGGTGGGGTGGGCACTGGACATCGGCCAGCTGCATGAGTCAACTGCAGCCAGCGTTTCGAAGTGTTTCCAAGTGTGCTTGTCTGTTGCCGATCGGATCCGGAGTGGTCTTGCCTTATGTAAGCGACGCATAAGCTGCTGCGTCTTGAGAGATTTTAATTTCAATTCGATTTTTAGCTGAGCGGCGCTAAGCCAAAGCTGTGCAAAAACAGCAGATATGAAAACGAGATGAACACGTTGTACAATGCTTGCTGAAAATTGGATACCCTAGGGAAATGCACACAATATGTAGGGAGTGAACAATTGCTATTTCTAAAGTAAAATTTGAAAAGTTTTTGAGGAGCACTTCTCCAACTTATCATATGTTGACTAACGTCTCGCTGATATCTATATATTGTATATGCATATGGAAATTATAATTATTATATAAGGAGTTCATCTTACTTACATAAAGATTTCTTTTATTAAAAAAGCTTTGACCTGAAAAAAAACTATTTCAAGAAATTAAAAAAGGAAAATATTCAAACTACCTTTTTGCAAGCAATCGAAGCCAACGATAAAGTTGTTTGTAAAATTTAATAAAATGCTCTGCGATTTTTTTCATATATTATCTATCGGTAAAATCATAATACCCCTTATAGTAAATGGTAACAAAACTGCTCGACACACACCGGAGGCCTTTCACTTGGACAGCTCGAAAGCAAGACAAACCCAAGCAAACCAAAGCAAACAAGTAAACGGGCTGGCCAAGAAAGAAGATGAAGATGACACGAACGAGTCGGGCAGAGGCTGCGTCCACGGCCTTAACTGCACTCGACTGCACACATATTAAGCATACGATTTGGAACGAGCGATGTTAATTAGCACCGTCTGTGACTTTGGCATTTAAGGCATGAGTTGTGGCACCCCTCGGGCCACTGATTGATTGGGTGCTTTATGGCCATGTGAATGAGTTAAAAGATCGCATCGTAAAGTGCGCCACTTGGCGCTGCGTTGACATCAATTCGACGCCCGCTAACAAAAGACTTAGGCAACGAACTTGGCATTGCTTGTCGCTTGCTGTTGTTACTGCTGCTGCTTCTTCTTCTGTTTTCTACCGTTGTTGGCAGTTATTTTTGTTATGCGTACTTATCGCAGGAATTGGAGCACAATGCACGCAATGCGCTTACACCAACAACATGTGATGCAATCCCGCTCAAAATCGTGCCAAATTGTGCCACCAGCTCAAAGCGCTTGAGGCTGAGAATCGCTTTAAAGTTGAGCGATTAGAAGCTGTGCGTGCGGCTGTAACATGGCCAGTCGATTGAATAATATTCGCTGAAATTTGCATACGCCAATGCATAATCGTAAAAGCGTCTCTCTCTTGCTCTCTCCGTTTGTTGTTTCACTTTTAAAAAGACCAAAAATTAGCAAAGCAAACAGCAAAGTCAAATAAAAGGCATGCGGAGAAAGTGAATGGCCGCCATAAAGTAAAAGCAAACAACAAAAACAACAACAACAACAGCAGCAGCAAGAAACAACAAACAACAACTGAAGATGAGTGACAAACCAACGCCCGTCTCTTATCAAAGATGCAAAATGCTGTGCAACGATTACGCAGACTCCGCACGTCACACTCCAACTGGGCCTCGGCCAGGTTTATTTTTTGCACATGCACTTAGCCAGGCCGTAAAGCAATTTACGTTTTTTGTTTTTGAGCCAGCAGCGGCAGCAGCAACTTTGGTTGGGGCAGTCATGTCGCCATTTTGTGTGGTGTCATTTAGCCGGCCCCTGTTGCAACTCATGTGCATGGGGCAAAGTCAAGCCAAAGACTCGGAAAATCCAAGCTACAGCCACAGCCACCACACGCATCCAGCAAACAACAAAACTAAACTTGGGCACCACTCAAGCGATTATTTTTATACCCTGTAGCCATATGTAATGGGTATAATCAAGTATGCAATAGACAGATCTCCGATTATATAAAGCATACATATATATGTTTTGATTCGCTTCCAAAGTCGATTCCTTTAAACATATTCGTGCGTCGAGACATTAAGAAGTAGAGAGCTGAGATTTTGAATTAAGAATTTCGGTATACCCTACACAGCACAAGTCTCTTATATTTTTGAGAGAACTGACTTTCCTTAACAGATATAAAAATCGTTTGTGCCTTTGAATTTTTCTCAATTGCCTTTTCTCTTACACTAAATCGCTCTCCTCCGTTTATCTTCTTTCTCTTTCTCCCACTGACTCATCCTCCCACATCATATCTTGAAAGATAACTTAAATTCATGAGAATCGCATAGAAGGGTAGAAAGAGAGAGAGAGAAAGGGTGATAGAGAGGAAGAATGAGTGCGTGAGAGATGGAGGGAAAGCAACCTCTCGCTCAGATAAGAAGAGCCTATTTTTACCCACTCACCTCCAGCAACCGCCCTTCTCTGCGATTTTTAGAATATTTTTTTATTCTTAATAACATAGTTAACTGTTGCTTTCACACAAGAACTAATCCTCTTGTGGGTTTTCAAATGCAATTGTATATATTAGCAAATCTGAACTGCTTACTGGGAATCTTATAGCTGAACAATTTCCAGCTACACACGTACATAGAAGAAGCTATTAGACGAAATTGCCGCGTCAGCGACAAATTGTGTCAAATGTTGTCACCAAAAAGGTAACAAAGGGCAGACACGGTCCGTGCTGAAACGAACCGAGTGGTAAACATCTTTTTATTTTTGTGTACACAAGTAAATGCCAGGCCAAAATGGTAATGTTACAAATTTGTTGCTAAAATCGTTTTTAATTATTTCGAGCAAAATCGTGCAAGGCATTTGTACATATATTTACACATACATATACATAGATATGTCGCTGTGTATTGAGCAAGGGCAGGCAGCGTAGCATTATGCAAAACTAGAAGAGCGCAAAAGTGGAACATTGAGCGAAATATAAAACAAATAGTCAGACGTATGCTAAACAAATATTGACACTTAGTAAACAAATTACAACAGTTTATTATGTGTGTACTCACGAGTCTTGAATGTTCTTATAACCTTAGCTCGCCCACTCAAGACAAAGCAACAAGTTAGAAGTGCCTGAAGTCAAAAGCATTGCAATTTTAACAAGCCTGAGAAGATTTTAATTGCAATTGTAGATTCTAAGTGAGGTTTACTATTTTGTAAATATATATTTATTTTATGAGAATTGTTATACATTTCTGTTTCGTTCTGGTTGTGAAATAAATTTCATTATTATACAAATTTTCAAAGGTAAACGCTTCTTCCGGATAGACAATATGTTTTTCATTTTATAATAGTAAATAAAAATGCAGTCTCTCAGATCTGTGATCAGCCGCATCAAACAATAATCGAGCTGCACGTAAACTGAACCCAACTGGTCAGTCGCCGGGCATCAAATCGAATCACAATGCACGAAATGATCCAGTTTCAATAATAATAAGTAGTCATTGGGTGAGTGCATCGAGAGGCAACGCGTGCAATGTGATCGGTATATAATATGCGTATGTATTTGTGTCTGTATATGCTTAAGCATACATGTATATAGGTTTCCATTCAATATACATATATTCATTATGCAATAATGGCACGGCCAAAGACAAATCCAAAACAAAACCAAAGCAAACCAAACCAAAGCCATAACATAATGTTATCGTAATCAACATCCAAATCAATTTCAACAAGCGACTGGCATCGGCATCGGCATCAAGTGGTCAT